CGCTTACCAAACATTTTTCGGAGACAATCGAAAAGTAAAAAAAAAAAATTAAATTTCTTTTCGGCTACCATTTTTTTTCCACGAAATCGACAACCGAGCGTGGAGAGAAATTAGCGGACTTTATTTGACTTTTATTTCCTAATAAGACCGTACTGTCGGCCTCGCACGATGCAAAATTAGAATATTCGACCCATCAAAATTTCATCGGGCCATTGCATTGATTAGCCGAATAATGAAAAGGATCGATCTCTATACCATCTTAGAATTTTTAATCAAAAATTTTTCTCTATCCACCGTCAATTTTTGCTATACATATATATTTCTTGGCACTAAAGTTGGAGAATTTTCTATGTGTTTCCATAAACTCTTCTTTATAATATATATACATATATATAGGGAAAATGACACAAATAGTCCATGAACTTTGACCTAATATGTAATTTGGTCCCTGCATTTTTAATTTGATCAATGTACTCTCTGAATTTTAGCTTAATGTTCAATGTGATTCTTAAATATATTAAATTGAACATTTTCTAAAAATTCAGAGAGGATATTGAACAGATTAAAAGTTCAGGGATCATATTGAATATTATGTTAAAGTTTATGAATTATATTGAACAAATCAAAAATTTAAGAATTAAATTATATATAAAATTAAAATTTAAGAATTATTGATGTCATTATTCACTGTATGCATGGATGTGTGTACCCATCGATCATCATCTTATCCATATCCTATGCGTTGTATCTGTCCTCTTCCTTCTTTTGATTCTGGGGTCACATCGAGGGTCGGATCTTTGATCGCCCTGTCCTTTCCATGCCTGGCCATGTGGCCATTGAAGTGATTGATTAGCCTAAAGCATCGTCAAGTTTTATTCCTCCTAATTGAGTTGGTACGCCCTTTGGAGCATAATCATTAATCAATAATCATGCCAATTCGACTGAAACCGATACTTAATTGACCGTTAATCATCACGATTATGAAACACCTAACTAATTCGATGGATCGTGTAAGCCGCGTGTCTTTACATCTCAATGAGTCTTTCCTGATACGAGATTTTGCGAATTAGCTTCATGATTTTTAGATGTTTTGTCACTTTTTTTTTTTGTCGTCGTGTGCATGTTGAAATTCAGCATCGGGCAAAACGACGTGGATCTCATTATAAATGGGAGGGAATCGAGGAGACATGTAAAGGGAGAGGGGAGTGATGCTCGATATTTAAATATTCTCAAACCATGCTTCTAAATCATGGGTATGAGTCGGGACGGCCCCGAACAGAATGACAGATCCGAGGGGAGCCAAGGCTAATAAATATTGTTCGATCTCTCACGTAAGATCCGTCGAAGGGCTAGATTTTTTGAGTTCGGTCCGAACTAAATGCCGCAAATCAAGATTGTGGACAATGGTTGTTTGTCCGTTCTCTAGGAGATCAAATGATATTTTTTCTGTGGATTTTGGGGGAGGCTCAAGCTCCAATCAAAGTGGTTGGGGTCCCTCTAGAGATAGCGACCTCATGGCCATGGATTTGAATTGTTTAGATTCGTGTATTTCACCGTGCGTTCCTAACATTATCCCGTCTCAACTTGCATCGCAAGAGACTCGATTTTGATTGAATATCTCCCGTTCGAGGACGACGGATCGATAGACTAGAACCATTGTATGGAGAACAACAATTCGAGACTCTTAACCTGTTCTTTTCTTCTTCTTCTTCTTTCTCCCTTTCAACTCCTCGCAAACGTGAGAACTCGCGAAATCGCTCGAGTTTCACAAGCAATCTCAAACGGGCACGACCCGAAAGGGTCCGAAAACGTGTAGGTAAACACCACACTCTCGAGATGCCGGGCCTACGAGAGAGCACTTAAGAAAAAAAGCCATGAACGATCTTGATTGCCATTTTAGGAACCCGGTAGTAGGGGTGAACAGTTTTAAGTTCCGTACAGGTTTCACTTGGACTTGAAACCTGCCCATGAGAACATGTTTCTCATTTTTCGAAACCTAAAATCTACCCTCCATACCTTGAAATCTGGAACCTACCCAGTTTCAAGGTCGGTTTCAGGGTCTACCCAGATTCCCATTTGTATTATTAATTGAACAATTGCAGTAAATCATCACATTTAATGACAACTACTTACTGCTACGATCCACCTACCATAACTTATATTTAGAGACACGAAGAATATAAAACATTAACAAGTCATAAAATGAAAGCTCAAACTAGTGGTTCCTGATTATACACTTATTATCCAACGCTATGGAACACAACAGGATCATGCGAAGACATAAACCAAGTAAAAATACAAAAAACTTATTTAAGGTTTCAAGTTCCAGGTACTTGGAATCTATTCGTCAAAATAGGTTCCCCAATTTTTAGAACCTAGAACTTATCATGCATACCTCGAAACCTATAACCTACAGGTTTCCATCGGTCCCCTACCCGATAGTTCAAGAGAGCTTCATCATTTACACAATACGACACAAATTTTTTTTGTATAGAAATAATCAACTCGCATTTTGGCAAAGAGTAAAAATATATATAAAAAAAAGCTAATGAAAATTGCCTATATATGAATCCAAGCAAATATTATTTAACAAATCACGAGCAAGCTGGAGCTCTCGAATCAAAATCTCACGTCCTTTCTCTGGTCACCATGCTTCCGCTAATGGTCACTATATTTTAGCTCTTCATTTTTGTGTGATCACAATAAGCTGGTTTAAATTGGAAAATTGTGGGTTGAACACAAAAAATAAAAATAAAATACTAAATTCTCCGTGAGATTAGAGGGAGGAAATGAAGTGAAAAAGATTATGGACCCACCTATTTCAATTGTCTAGAAAATTCTAAATTTACTGTACGGCTATCAATTCAGTCTTGAACTTTCCAATTTTTTAGTTTGGCCAATCGAGTCCTAAGCCTATCGACCATTTTCCAATGTAGATTCAGGCCGGAAACCGCCGACGTGGCGGTCCTGTCAGCGCCGGCCATCCTTATGTCTCACGACCGACATGTGACGTGCAATAGGCCGTGGACTTTTTTTACTCTGGATTCCCGATCCCAAGGAAAAAGCAAGATGGCTAAGAATGAATTGACATTGGATGATAAATGGAGGGAGGAGAATACGTACCACATTCTCTAGCTTTTTCCCTTTAGAAAAGAAAGCAAAGCACCACGTAGCTCGTTAAGCAATTGTGTGATTGCAATTCAGTGACACTTGTGATTTAAGTGGGAGCCATGCGGTGGGTTCTCTATTCGATATCGAGATGAGCATTCGATGATTCTTGAGAACGGTTTTGAAAGTGACGATGATGATGAGTGCGGTAGTGCGCATCCACGTTGGTTGCGTTCGAGCGAGGGGCCGTTTCAGCAAAAAAGAAATGGCAACGGGAGGTAGTAGCAGGCAAGCAAAAACAGGAAGAAGGGCTCGTCCCCCAAAATAAAGAGTAGGATCCTTTACTTTACCTGCAAGAATTCCCTCCTCATCTCTGTGATGCTTTTGATACAAAGTATAAAAAAGTCAAAGCACGATCGTTTGAGACCTGCGGCCGAAACACCCCGCGCCCGTTGGCTCGTGAAATTTCCGATTATGTGCCTTATGTACGTCCGGTCGTTACTTCCGCCTCCCGTCGTCGATTCGGTCGCGCTGACCCGGTCTCACTCGTTCCAAGCTAGAGTTTATGCATGGTTTTGTTACTGGAATAATGGCATAAACAGTATCCGAACTTTAGTCCAGAGTGCAATTCGGTTCATGAACTTTTTAATCTGTTCAATGTATTCCATGAACTTTAACCCGATATTTAACATGGCCCCAAAACTTTTAATTTATTCAGTATTGTCTCTGGACTTTTGATATATGTTCACCGTGACGATATTGAACAAATTAAAAGTTCAGGAATAACTTAAAACAAATTAAAAGTTCAATAATCATATTATATATTGAATCATAGTTCAGAAATTATTTATGTCATTATCTCGTGGTACGTAGGTGCAAGACCTTTAACTAAACATGCATTTTTTTTGGCTTGTTTTTTGGGGGTGCCGGGGGGTTGGTTTTGATGGCAAATCTAAAAAGGAAAGAGAAAAATCTCGTTCCTCCCAACGTAGGGCTCATGTTGCTGCGAGAGGAGATTCATTGAATCAATAATGTCACGAAATTGGAACAAAAAAAAAATTAAAAAAAAAAATCGGGATTGGGCGAATGGGAGGAGACACTTCCGCCTCATATCCACTTCGCATTAGCTCCCCTACCCGACTTCTACTCGGATTTTTTGGATAACCCAATTTTGCTGACTCATTCGACATCCGGATAAGCATTTCACTTTTCACCACCCTTAAAAATCCAAAATTATAAAAATGACCCAAGTAAAACAAAACTATAAAAAAGGGATTATGATACAGACAGTCGCTGAACTTTGATCCAATATACAATATAGTCCATGAACTTTTAATTTATTCAGTGTGATCCCTATACTTTCGGTTCATGTTCGATGTAATCCCCAAACTATACGAAAATATTCAATGTAGTCTCTGAATTTGAATTAATGGAAGAACTACATTGAACAATTTTATATGATTTATGGACTAAACTGAACATTTACCTAAAGTTTAAGGACGGCATTGAAAAAATTAAAAGTTCAAGTACTACATTGCATATTAGGCTAAAGTTAAGAAATTATATTAAATAAATTAAATTTTCAGAGATCACGTTGTAGTTGGGCCAAAGTAAAGAGAGTGTTTGTGTCATTTTCTAACAAAAAAATTACGATTGGCTCGAAATTGGGCACTTGGTACAATTTGACTGTTTTCTCGGGGTATCCAATTGAATTTACTACTTTTTTCAATCACGCCCCTCATGATCCACGCCGTCCCCTGTTTCATGAGGTCTCGATTTTCGCGGTCGCAGGGCCCAAAAACGCTGCGTTTTTGGGGGCGCCTCTGCACCCTGTCGTTATAAGAACGAATAGCCTCCACCCCGGCGCTTCACTTCTCAGACCGCGCCATAACAGAGCCCCGCACCGTACACCATGCCGTCGCTCTCCGCTCCTCCGCCCCTCCTCCGCCCCTCCGCCGCCCCCGCTCCGCCGCGCGCCGCCTTCCTCAGCCCTCGCGCCTCCCCCACCTCGTCCCCCTCCGCCGCCGCCGCCGCCGCCGCCGCCTCCTTCACGACCTCCGACGCCAGGCCGCGCGCCCCGCCTTACCCTTCGTCCCCGCCCCCGCACCCGCAGCCGCACCGCGTCCTCCGCCGCCACGGGATGCAGCCGGCGTGCACGTCCCTCTACGAGGTCCTCGGCATCCCCGTGGGCGCCACGTGCCAGGAGATCAAGGTCGCGTACCGGCGCCTGGCCCGGTCGTGCCACCCCGACGCGGCGGCGATGGACCGGAAGGGCGCGTCGGCCGACGAGTTCATGAGGATCCACGCCGCCTACTCCACGCTGTCGGACCCCGAGAAGCGCGCCGTCTACGACAGCAGCCTGTTCTGGAGGAGGAGCAGGCCGTTGACCGTCGTGTCCGGAGGCGGCGGCGGCGGCGAGAGCTACAGGGGGAGGAACTGGGAGACGGACCAGTGCTGGTAGGCGCCCGAGCCGGCTCACTGATTCGCGATCCCCCCCAGAGTTTGGGACTGATTTTAGGGATTTAGCTGTGCATATACAAAATATCGAGTGGAGCTTTAGCTTTTGTTGTATAGAGTAAATACGAAGCAGAGTTATGGAGGAAGTGAAAAAGTATGAAAGGTGCCTGATTTTGGTAGGCACACCATCTGATCTGATTCTTGGGTATTGTGACCGATTTGAGATTGGAGATCGAATTCTTGCTGCGTTTTTGGTCAATCGATTACGAAAGGAATTGAAGGGATGCTCTTGATTATCTCATCGCATCCTTTTTTTATCTTCTTCTTCTTCTTCTTGGTTCTCGATTTTCTTGTTCTTGTTCTTGTTCTTGTTCTTCCCTTAAAAGTCAAAGAAAGTTCTTCCCCAAATGAGAGGTCGAGAATCGGTCGACGCAACTATGGTTGCATCGCAGATTCATGAGATGGGTCAAGGAAGCTATTGAAATTCATGGGTGTCAAAGCTTGGGAAGAAGTAGTGATGGTGGTGTGAGTTGAATCTGGCCAAACCCCAGATCATTCTTCCCGCTTCTGTTGCAGTCAGAGAGCTTCACCAAAATATCTAGCCATACAAAATGAATGGCTGGCTGTGATCTTGGCTTTGATGATCTGTGCTTTTGCATGGACACTGCTTTTTCTTCCTAATTTCTTTTTAATTGGAAGCAGGAATTCGTCCAAGATTCGTGGGTCTGGCCAAAGTTCGAGCATCGTTTTGTTCGCGCATTTATATATGAATTTACGTCGGATTGTCTGGTGGTCCACACGGTCCGATCGAAAGACGAGCTTTGCCCTTTAGAAGAAGTTGGGTGCGTGAAATTCGGACACCACGATGATTTCTTTGCCTACGAAATTTCTTGAAGCCCGGAGAAGAATTCAAGATAAGAGATCTAAAAAAAGAAAGGTGCACGAGCTGATTCGAACGACCCTGCAATTTCAGCTGATTGCGACATCGCATTTTAGGGAATTTAGCCTTGACATTGAAGCTATCCATGATGGATGGAAGAGCGCCGCTGCCCGTGGCTTTGCATGTGTGCCCTTTGACATCTGATTCGCATACAGACATTGAGAAAGGAGATCGGATTAGAACCGGAAATCAAAAGAGTCCTAGGGGACAAGAACACCTCCAGTCGACCCCCTTCTTTTAGGTTCTTGTCTTGTGGACCAATCCACAGGAAAGGTGCGAGTACGTCAAACAAAAACCACAATCGCATCGCAATTACGTGATGTATCGGTTTTGTAAACTAATCTCATACGAGAGATAGATAGAGGATCGATCCACATCATTGTTCGAATAATCTAGGCCACTCGAGACAAGCTTGTGAGAATGAGAAGTATGAATAGTAGCTCCATAAGCCGACGAATTACGTTATGTGCTTTGCGATTGCGAACAGCCTACGGTGTCCTAGGGAATTGCTTTTTGCTGTTCCTAGGTAAAAGGGCAATACTAATGGACACGGATCGTGGTGATGCTATTCCACATCGCGATGTACGTGTGCAATCTCGGCCTTTCGTCATGCAAGCCGACATGCATAGCTCACGTAAGCGCCATATAATCACAACGGAGATGAACATTGTTCGTATGAGAATGCGATGATTTTAAATGTCATATTTGATTGATGGTAAAGGAGAATGAAATTTCATCTTGCCATTCTCGTCCTTATATACTCATCCGGATTCTGAATGTCAATTTCGTTTGGCCTTCTTTCCAGAATACACTTGTAATTCTTTTAACTACAGGCTATGTCCCCCAAGATTTCCTTTCTTAACTACTTTTGTGTTAGGCTAGCAATAAACGTAGACGCAGGATCTGAAACCCCACCTTGTCATAGTACTCCAATCAAGATTTGCCTGTGAATTATATACACTGTAGTCGGCTACGCTAGCGGCAAAAGCGAAGGTGATCGTCAGGTTAATAATCAAATTAGGGGTCGGCTACAGCTACAGCACCGATATCGCATCTGTTGAACCACCCAATTACTCTCACGAGGTCGCAACATTGCAGAGTTTTAACTGGGCTATGTTGCTAGGGAATGATGCTCAAGAGCTGCCTTGAGTTGAGTGACCTGATGTGGTAAGTAAGTCATGAGCAAGAGGAGGAAGATCGGAGGAATTGCGAAAGTGACCGGCAAAACACAGTGCTCCAAAAGTCCCCATCTTTCCAGACGATGAGCGGAAAAGTCAGGAGGATCTACGAACCTAACTGGAGCTCCAGCTAGAACGAAGCTAGTAGCTGTTTTGGTGATTAATAAAGCAGCAACAAATTGCCCAAATCAATCTGAAGTTTTAACAGCTTAGTTAGCTCTGATCTATAACGATCATCGAGTCCCTGTGTCGAACTTTAGTCCAGACTTCACATGACCTTGCCATTTAATGGTGAGAGCATAGCAGTTGGTCGAAGAAGGGCGAATGGCCATCTCGAAACAACAAATGTTAGAGACGCACGATCTGTGTGATCGTCCAGCAAGCTGCAATCTTATTACTTAAGTGCGACGGGCGCTACCAAAAACAGATGTTATCTAGAAGAGGTTAAGCCTTTAACTCTTAAGTGCTTGTCTATAGGATAATCTCTCAGCATAAGGAAACTGAATCCTGCTCCAGGACCGTGTTCTTCAGGTGTAAGGGCACTTCACCATAACATTCAGGAGGGTAGCGGAATGAAACTTCAATATCAGACCTTGGAGATTATTCTTCAAAATCAGTCTGTTATCTATTGAAATCTTCAGGGTCGTTGTTATTTGGAAAAAAGGAACATCGACGCGTATAAAGAGTTTGGGGAGCTCATATCTCTTCTCGGGTCTCTACTCTCGTGCAGCGTTTCGAGGAATTCAACATGGCGCGTTGCCACCGGCCTCGAACCGAACAACGAAGAATCAGTGAACAGAACGATCCATAGGCCTCAAGTGACTTGCTAATGGCAGGTACTCACAAACTGCTCGCTGTGGCAGTATCATCCACATAACCACAAACTTCTATACAGCACAGTTGCCTCATCGCTGGTCTGGAGCAAATCTCGTCGAACACGGGTGCTTCAGATCGAACGATTGGACTCTCGAATGGTTCATCTACGGAGAAAGATGGGTCTGATTCATATCAGCTGTCGATTCTAATTCGAGATGAACCGTCCCGAGATTGTCTTTAGTTCATCACCCAATTTGACAGGACTTCATCAGTTAGCGGATAAAATCCAAGTTGAAACTAATTCAGAAGCAGCATCAAGTGAGCAGTTCCCATAATCTTCACCACCAGCCATCAATGCAGATCAAGAGACCCTATTAACCAAAGCATACGATCATTGCAGTCGCATAGCTGATTGAGCGAGTTGGCCGAGGTGAGAGCTTTCGCCCCATTCGAACTCGGGCTGCGATCAGCAAAAAGCTGCCTCTTTCACACCTTTGCCTGATTAAGATAACAGCCCCCGAAAGACACGAGCCCCGACCGACCATGTTCCTTGACGTGCCAACCAATGTACCTTATAATCGACAACGTAGCTAGGTAGCGGTTTCGCATAGTCCCGGATCAAGAACAAAAATTCCCCGGGACAATGAAGTTAAAACACCAGATGAATCCTAAGTTTCAATCACCCTCCAGTCTTTTCTTTCTATAGTTCGATGATGATGATGATGATAAGAAAAAGAACACCCTTCCACTTCCACTGGGGGTGTCAGAACCGAATCGGAAAACCGAACCGAGATACGAACCGAACCGAACCGAACCGAAAATTTCGTGCATTTCGGTTCGGTTTCGGTTTCGGTTCGGATCATCAAAATTAACCATTTTTTTTTTTCGGTTCGGTTTATTTCAGTTCGGTTCGGATCAGTTCGGATCGAGCCGAACTGAAATAAACACTCTTCCTCTCACCGAGACCATCCTCATTCCTCATATATGCAAAACACGTCCGCCGTCGGCGGCGTGCAGGGTGTATGAACTCCGTCGCGTCCTGCTGTCACGCCGGAGCAACGAACTGAGCCGAGCGAATGGCGGCCACCTCGCGACTGTGGAGCCACCTCCGCCGCTCTTGGCCGCGCTTCTCCTCCCTCTCCTCCGCTCCCTCCCTCGCCGCCCCTCGCCCTCACCCTGGCCCCCGTCATCGCTCCGATCCCTGCTCGCTTCCTCCGCCTTTCCTCCAATCCGGCCGCCGCTTCTCTTCCGCTCCGTCGGGCTCCGACGACGGCGATTTCGACCTCCGGGGGCTCGGCGAGTCTGCGGCGTTTCTTCCCGACGTCGCCCGCGGCGCGGGGATCGATGCTGCGATCGAAGGGGCGGCGAGCGGTGTGGAAGAGTCAATTCTTCCCGTCAAGGCCTTGATCTCTCTCCTCGATAGCTATCACGATGTCACTGGCTTGCCTTGGTACGATCTTGAGCTGTTATGGGTATCGGTCGAATTCGTGGGTCGAGTTCTTTAAGGTTGATTTGTTGGGTTTCTTGCAGGTGGGTCGTGAATTGCATCCTCCACCTTGGCGCTGAGAGTGGCGCTCTTCCCCGTGCTCGTTTTGCAGCTGCAGAAGATGAAGAGGATTTCTGAAGTATTTCCGAAATGTGAGCTCTCTTTCTCACTTCTACAGTCTTCGTTTCGCCGGAACCCAAGATGAAGACGATGAAATTTCAGAGCTTTCTTAATTTTTATCATAAAAAATTATCATAAATACATATTATTATCAAAAAATTATCATGAAATTTTTTCATAAAAACAGAAAATCGAGCCATGAATAAAAAAGCAAAAAAAAAAAACAAAAAAGAAGAAGAAACCGAAAACCAAACTGAACCAAATCGGCTTATCGGTTCGGTTTCAATTCGGTTCGGTTCCTATTTGGTTCGGTTCAAGGAGGAATCCTTAACGGTTCGGTTCGGTTCGGTTTTTCAAGAAAACCGAACCGAACCGAACCGTTTACACCCCTAACTTCCACCGACCTTAATGATTTAGTTAATTAGGGAATTAACATAACTTGATCCGGACGTATTTACATTCAAAAAATATACATAATTAATTAATTAATTGAGATTTGTTTTTCAGTTTAAAATATTTTTTTAAGAGATTTATTTATTACTTAGTTAGGAAGTATATAATTAAATAAAACAAGATAAGATCGAAAAAAATTTTGATCAGAATTTCGAAGGGGAGTCGGAGTCCTTACAAGTGTAGGGCTCGCGATTAGGGTTTTTCGCATTATATAAACCGCCCCCTCAAACCTCGCCCCGTCCCTTCTCTCTCTAGAACGCCACCGAAGCCTCTCTCTCTCTCTCTTCTTTCTCTCTCTCTCTCTCTCTGGGTGATCCTTCGATCGATCGGATCCATGGCGGATCAAGGGAGGTGCGGCGGCACCGTGCTGTGGTTCAACGACGTCAAGGGGTTCGGCTTCATCAAGCCCAGGGACGGCGGCGAGGACCTCTTCGTCCACCAGTCCTCCATCAGGTCCGACGGATTCCGCAGCCTCGCCGAGGGCGAGGAGGTCGAGTTCTCGGTCGTCACCGAGTCCGAGGGCAAGTCCTCCGCCGTCGACGTCACCGGCCCCGACGGGGCCCCCGTCAGGGGGAGCGCCAGGGACGGCGGCTACGGAGGCTACGGCGGCGGCGGCGGCGGCGGCGGCAGGGGCGGCCGCGGGTTCGGCGGCAGCTGGAAGGGCGGCGACAGGTTCGCCGGGGGTGGCGCCGGTGGCTCCGGATGCTATGTCTGCGGCGAGGTGGGGCACTTGGCGCGGGACTGTGACCGCGACCGCGGAAACCGGGGCAGCGGCGGCGGCGGCGGCGGCGGAGGGGGTTCCGGGGCGTGTTTTAACTGCGGCGGGATTGGCCACATGGCGAGGGATTGTCGTCGGAGTACCAATGTTGGGGGCGGAGGAATAGGAGGCAGTTCCTGCTTCAATTGTGGTGGTTTTGGGCATATGGCGAGGGATTGTACTAGTAGAGGCGGCGGCGGCGGCGGCGGCGGCGGTGCCGGCGTCGGCGGTGCTTGCTATAACTGCGGTGGACCTGGTCATATGGCGAGGGATTGCACCGCTGGTGGTGGTAGCAGATTTGGCGGCGGCGGCGGCAGCGGCGGTTACAACAGTGGTGGCAAGTGCTTCAATTGTGGTGAGCAGGGGCATTTTGCCAGGGAATGTACTATGATCTCTTGAAGGAGGGAAAAGGGAAAGAAGAGTAATAGTACATATTTCTCTTTTTTTTTCTTGGTTATGCTTTGGTTCACCTTTTCATGTTTTGTTGGTTTGAGATGATATACATAGGATGTTTTGGAGATTTGAGTTTGTTTCTATCCCGTTTGGTTTCTTGCGTTGGTCAGTGAGGATGACAAATTGGTTAACTTCTAATTGAGCTATTTTGACGTCAGTGGAACTGATGGGTGCTCTTATTCAGTTCTGTGTTGGTGATGCCTTAGTGGCTTCTTGTTGAAGTTTGTGGTTATAGTATTCACATGGATTGAGTGGTATTGATTCTTGGCCTGGCAGAGGTCATTAATCGTCATTAATCAAGTGTCAATTACTGTTGAAGGATGGCATTGCGATAATTCTCAGTATGCTCGGTGTGACAATGGCATTATTTATTGCTCTGAGATGCATATTGAGAGGAGGATGACATGTTCTAATTGCTTAAGTACTGGTCATTGTCAATAGACCAGTTGGGTTGGGAAAAAAATTTGTAGCTGCTGGGAAGCTTGCCAAATGCAGCTAAGAAGATGCAGGCAATGACCTCTCGTGTTCACTTGGCTATTCATGACTTAATAATTTCTACCTTTTTTACCAACTATCCACATTATGATAAAAATGGGATGTTTCATGCATCGATAGTTTCGAATTTACTCTTGTTTTGCTTGGCTATATCCAGTTCTTTGAAATATAGGGTACCAGGTATATTGCTTGTACTATAGTGACAACAGCAACAATGGCTCAATGCTTTTTCGGTGGGAATATCATGTTAAAATATATTCTGTGACACCTTGTTATTCCCTTAAGCTCCAAATCTTCCATAAGTTGCAACTGCAAACTCTTAGTGTCTTTATGTATGGTTTTGGTTTCACTCATGTCTTCTTAATTTTCGCCTACTTCTTAATTTGCTGTTCGACCTGTTAAGTTACCATGAGATTACATTGCTCATATGGAGAAGTATTTCGTGGTCCACATGCATCTTTATTGAGTTAACTGAGATGAGGATTATTCAGTTTTTGCTCAATAGATGTATGTTTCCTTGGTAGATAATTGTACTCTAGATGAATTATAATAACTGTAGAGACTTATGTATTATCCAAAGAGACTAATGGATACACTAGAAAGTGATTCATCCCGTCATTATTCTGTATTGATGCCATTGGAAGTTCTGTACCGTGGGCAGCTTTCAGAACAAATTTGCTTGTGGCTGTATACCCTTGCTTTGTTGACACTCGAGCATGCATGTAATTTGGAGACTTTTGATCTTTTCCTGTTTGGTCTTTGCAATTGATTTTCAAGGCCTTCGTGATCATGAGAATTTGGATAGCCCATTTTTGTTCAACTGATATTGGAATCCTTTAGCCTATGGATTTGTTGTGTTCTGCTTGTCGTTTTTGCGGCGAATGACAGTTGTTTGATTAGATAGACAATGCAAATCTTGGGTTCTTGATGAATGAAGAATGATATAGTCGGTGATGCCAGAGAAAGTGTAGAGAAGTAGGAGGCAACACAAGTGAGAACTTGAATAGATAGGTCGCTCGCCACTCGTAGGTAATTAACCTAGGAGATAAGAGCAAATACTCGCCACCCGTAGGAATCCACCTGAGGGATAAGAGTAAAACAAGATATCCTTTTTGTTCTCAAGCCAAAGGCTCAAATTTACTCAAAATAAGTCTTACTTTGTTATTCATCATATCATGCATATATAGAGCATGGAACAACCTTCCAAGCTTGAGTAATTACTAAGACTCTTTGGAAAACCAAAAGACTTGTAGGAAAGATGAACAATATTTACTAGAAAACAACCATAAATAAATAAGGACTCTAAAAACTTGAATGACATTAACTAGATCTAGAAAATGTATGAGAATTAAATGTAACCGATTGAAGGTTTTTATGACTTTACCATTTTCCAAAGTGGTTGGATTAATGGCCTTCATCTTTTGAAGGAACCGAACAGTCTTCGGTTCGTTGTAATCGAAGAGTCGACTTGGTGTCGACAATATCGACAAGAATTGTCTTGGTGTCGATAATAGCGGCAAGAGTCGACAACTCAACGTCTTCAAAGAATGCTCCGGCATCAGACAGTCTGGAATAACTTATGATGATCTAGAGTTTACATTCTCAGGGTGAGGTTTTCTACTCTTGGATAGGCTTTCAGTTTGCAACGAGGGCATACTGTCCCTTTAGACGTCAAGTCAATGTAGCCGGTAATTTGGGGAGTTTGAGAGTGCAGTAGAATCCTTTAACACTATAGTAGGTCTAAATTACTCTGATAGTACAATCAAATTTGTTTTCAATTCCGGTAATGTTCATATCATTGAATTTGCTAGTAGACTTCATTTCGACTTCCTATAATTACATTTGTGGCATTGAAGGCAGATCATGAAGCTATAATTTTCTGTGCTCTCGACATGCACATGTCAATTTCGCGCGAAGGTGTGTCCATGTTCTTTTTGAACCATGACCGAACTTACTTCCCTAAATGGCTCAGATGCAGGGGGTGTCCTGCAACGGGGGCAATCTGGCAGGGCAGGAGAGCTTTGCAATGTTTCTGCGAAGCACCGTGCGATGCCCACCTCTGCGTGCGTGGGACGCGAGGCAGTATCATAGGTAAGTTGTGATCGCCTCTCTGGTATAACAACGAAGGTTTAGGGAGCAAAACTACTGATTTGCTCCTTTTTCTTGGGAGAAGTTTGGTCCCTCCAACAATTTTGAGCTTCTGGTGAAAAGTATCGTCTCGAAGTATCCTATACTTTGTCGAACTGCATGGCATGGTAATGCTTTTTTTTGGCTAAGGACAGACAGACCATAAGGAGAAGCATAAGGAGATTAATGAGAAGCAAACGAACGACGCTCCATCTGAACCACACCGTCCATGCAAGTGCCTGTTACAGTCTTGGTACGTGCTATGGGCGAATTTCATTCGGTTGCTATTGCAAAGGCCAAAGCTTTAAAGGCAACAAAAGCAGTGGCTTTGACAAGTTTTCTCAACTTGCCTAATCTAGTGTAATTAACATCTTAAACAGGATTTGCCAACTTGCGTAAAGATATATAAGTACACAGTGTAATGCGTCTTGTCCATCTCCATTTGACAGAGATTTACCACCCAGCCTTACTTTTAATATCACGCAAAAGAGGGTGTCCATGTTCTCTTTTGCCAACTTGCGGCTCTCAAAAGATGAGTCGAGTTGGTTGCTTGTATCAGCTAATAACATTTATAGTAGGAAAAAGCACCGTTTTTGCGTACTGATGCAACGTTTTCGACGTGAAATAAATAGAGGGGCCCGACAGAATTTTTCAAGATTTGCGCCTGCTGTGACGGGTCAAAGGGCAAGAAGATCTTCGATTAATTTAGTGTTTACGCGCCCCTTAGTGGGCTTGATCTTTCATATCGTGTGGGGAATAAGAGGCTGTAGGAGCTGTGTGGAGGCCAAGGCTCTCTCACATTCCCCCACCCAAGCCAAAGGCCATGCTACTGTGGTGTCGCGGAGCGCTGCTGCAACTAGCTAGCGAGGTGTGCCCCTTTTCAGGGTCAATGCCGAAGCCAGCGTTTATTCCATGCTTTTCACCAGAATCTGGGAATCTGAATAATTGGACCATTTTTTTGCTTTGTGTGTGCCAGAGGGTGCACTATACCCAGGCCAGAAACTTTTACTAACTAGTGTGCTTGGATCTTTGACTATCGAGTACCGTTCTTTAGTCTTGAGCGCGAGCTTAGTATTCCGGGATGGTGACATATTATGCCGTTTCTTTTTTGTTGGGAAAATGTCTTATGATAGTCTCTGATCGGTTTCAAATTATGATTTGGATAGATGTGAATTGAAGCCGACCGTAGTTATGGTTTCCGTCTATATATCAATGTCGATAATTAGCGAGTTGAAGCAGTAAGCCTCTGCGGTGGACGGCATCGAGATTGACAACACTAGATATTAGGCAATCATACCACAAGATCTCCTATGACTAGTATGGCCGTTGAATAAATCAATGACAGTGGTACTTTGGTGGGTACGATTCGAATGTGTCGGTAATCATGTCATAAGTCAATCGATGATGCAGTGCGCGAGATTCACTAAGCAAGGCCTGGCCGGTGACTAGAAATGGCCCTCTTCTCCACATTGTTCACGTGAGCTGAGCCACAGAGAGAGTCTATCCTAAGCTCTCCTCCTTCCGTGGTCGGTCCATGGACGCACCTTATTCATCTCTATCTATTATTTTTCTTTTATTTCGTTTCATCAAAATTTGCTCGCAAGCCAATTTCACGGGCCTGATTCTTCTCTGAAAGACGAACCGAAAACAAATGTTATCTCGATCGAAGCCGTGTCGTCGTCTTTAAACTTGAAGCCTACCTTCCTGCTTCGTCTTTTGATTGTGTCTGTCTTCGGGATGAACCAATTTCCAAAGGCGTACAGACAGAATCCCAACGCCTTGTCTCCTCTGCTCTGCCCACGCAGCCTTCCAAAGAAGAGGACAAAGAAGAAAAAACAGAGGAAATTGCGTGATTACGCAGAAAATCGCCGACTTCAACTGTGTCCCCACGTTCTCACGAAAGAACAATTGAGAAAATTAGAAAACCATGATGGATTTGGCAAGTGGTGGGGGTGGTACCATCACCTCCCCAGTCAGAGGCCCCCACCAACTCACACATGGACCGCCACATTCGTCCGTCCCGCTTATAAAACCCCTCCCTTCCTTCCCTCCTTCATTTGCGCTTCAAAAATTTTCCCACACGGAACTGATGTGATTCTGTATATCTTAGAAAACATTCATTCTTATACCATTATATCTTGAATTTCGAGACAGCTGCTCGTTCTTAGATTTGGAAACCCAATGGCTTCGCTTGGAGTCGCAGTTGCTCTGTTCTTGCACTTTCTGATCTTCTGGGTCACTGGTGAGTTCGAGTGTCAAAAGAGAATCTTTTGTCATGGCCCTTTTCGTTTTCCTCTCGAAATCACCTGAATGGCGATTCGTTTTTAGTTTGAAGTTTCGGACTTTAGGTGCTTTTGCGTCGGGTTTTGATCTCATGCTCTGTTTCTTGAATTTGCAGGTGGAAATTCGGCGACATTCACCATAGTCAACAAGTGCGGCTTCACGGTCTGGCCGGGGATCCTCTCCGGCGCCGGAACCGCGCCGCTCTCCACCACCGGCTTCGCCCTCGACCCCGGCGCGTCCGCCTCCGTCGCCGTCCCCGCCTCCTGGTCCGGCCGCCTCTGGGGCCGCACCTTCTGCTCCCAGGACCCCGCCACGGGCAAGTTCGCCTGCCTCACAGGCGACTGCGGCTCCTCCGCCCTCGAGTGCTCCGGCAGCGGCGCCGTCCCTCCCGCCACCCTCGCCGAGTTCACCCTCAACGGCGCCGATGGGCTCGACTTCTACGACGTCAGCCTCGTCGACGGGTACAACCTCCCGATGCTGGTGGTGCCGCAGCGCGGCGCCGCCACCGCGGCCGGGAACTGCACCGCGACGGGGTGCGTCGCTGACCTGAACAGGGCGTGCCCGCAGGAGCTGAAGGTGACGAGAACGGGGAGCGAGGGCGGGGTGGCGTGCAAGAGCGCGTGCGGCGCGTTCGGGGACCCGCAGTACTGCTGCAGCGGCGCGCACGGGTCGCCGGACACGTGCGAGCCGAGCCAGTACTCGGAGTTCTTCAAGACCGCGTGCCCGAAGGCCTATAGCTACGCCTACGACGACCGCACCAGCACCTTCACCTGCGCTTCGGCGGATTACGAGATCACGTTTTGCCCGACGCCTTCAACTAGGTAATAGAATCACCTCGAACTTACCTCTTAAAACTTTCTCTTGATACGACGACAGACATTTAATCAAGAAGTTGATAATTGAGATGAACACTAACGAGAATGCTTGCATTAACACAAATCTTGCATGCGACTGCAACATGGTGGAGTAGGGTCGCCGACCACTCCCGACCGGACGGGAGAAATTTGGCATTTCCTAGGAACCGCCACATATGAGCGCAGTTATAGTTCAGTGTTGATTCTGGTTTTTGGAAGAAAACCCTTTGATATTTTCGCCTGTAGTGACGAGGGTTTTCTTTGGTTTCAGTGTCAAGGCGGCGGGCGGTGAATACGCGGTGGCGGCCATGGCGTCAAGTGGCGTCGCCTCGTCGTGGACGCCGCTGTCGGTTGTCGCTGTCGTCGTTCCGGCGACAGGTTGGCAGTTGCGGCGGCTGTTCGTCGTCTAGCTCCGACTGTATCGTGGGCCCGCCTCTCTCTCACTCACACACTCACTCTCAACTGGGTAGGGCCCACGCACTTCAGGAGATCAAGTGGATTGTAGACTCAACGAGCGGCCCAACATGAAGAGAAGAAAATCTCGATCGAGAGAGAGAGAGAGAGAGAGAATTCGAAAACAGCGGTTCGTCAATGCGTTGATCCTCTCCGGACGTCGGGAAAAGTGATATTTTCTCGGGAAATTTTTCCGAGGGTGATGGAGATCAAGGATGACCGGCACGGACTCGCCCTCGCCGCCGGCTTCGGGGCTTGATGAACTTTCGATTGATTGCAACTTTTGTTTTCTTTCCAATAGTTTTTCGACGGGTAGAATGTAATTCGATATCGAGATTATATTTAGAGTTAAGATTAGAATGTAGTAGTAGTCTAGCAGAGGGATAGAAGTAGTTGGGATGTGAAGTGTTACAACTGGTATTGACAAAGTAGATGCGTTGTGATGTGAATATAAACTTCTTCTATTTTGAGCGTTTACCCTTTTTTCTGCTTCAAGTGGTTTTTCCTCTCTTTGTTTCTTGCCAACGGTTGGCGTCAGTTGGAAGTTTGTCTTTATTGAGATAATGGTGTAGTCATTAGACATAGACAGGCAAGAATGCAACGCCCACCCACACACACACACTCTCTCTCTCTCTCAATCAAGTTGAAATCCAGCAAGAGGCGGGATAATTACCAAAAAAGTTCCGATAAAATTCTTAATTTGTTACATTCAGCTATAAAACCTTTTAATTTAGCTAATTTAATCATGAACCTTTTGACGATCACTCAATGTAGTCCTTTTGACCAATTTTGAACGAAAATCATTGACGTAGATGGTACGGCCAGCATTGATGCGGACAAGTTTTGTAATCTTTTAAAGAAATTTCTAAAATTTTTCATTTCTTCATTTCTTTTCTTTTATTGTGGATGGCAAGCCCCCGTTGACCCTCGCCGGTCATTGGGTAAGGCCATGCAAGCCCCCACTGGCTGCAGGCGAGGGTTTGTAGGCCTAGTGGCTGGACGACAACCCATGGTGAAAAGAAGAAAGGAAAAAAAAAGTATAATATCTGTAAATTCAGAATTTTTTTTGAAAAATTGCGGATTCACGTCAGCGCCAGTCATACCATGTAGGACGGACGGTATTCACATCGGCGATTTTCGGCCAAAATTAGGATCAAATCGGCAAATTGTTAAAATGTTTAAGACTAAATTGGTTAAGTTTGAAATCTTGGCTGTTCTAAAACTAAAGACAAGCTCCACGCACGGTTGCACGAATGTTTCTTGCCATCATCCCTCCATCTGGGCACACTAGGGTTTCCTGCGACGTGAAATGTTATTCAGAGTTAAAAGCCAAAGAGGAGATCATCCAAGAAAGCGCAGGGCAACGCCCACTTTGCTCCGGAGATTGCGTGCAGGCTTCCAAAACAAGAAGATGAGAGGACCTTTTGGGAGGCTTTCCTGTTCGGTCTGGGACAAAAATCGGTCAAGAAAGCACTCACCGCTCATCAAGATAAAATCCCGCATCAGCAAAGCAATTTCCTTTCCCACTTTCTGTATCTTTCTATCCAGAAAAGAAAGCATCGTGACAAAGATAGCTCTTTAAATGTCTTTCTCTTAGCTTGCCGATTCTGCAGCATTAAAATTTTTTCCTATCTTTAGCAACAGATGAAGTCACAAAAAGCCCTAGAAGGTCAGCAATCGTCGCAGCATCCATCATTTCTTGCTACATAAAGCAAAAGTTAGTCAGCAAACACCTCAGCTTCCACAGTTAAGTTGATCTCTTACACCGCAGAGTTCAACTTGTATGTAACATGGGTTATTATAATTGCTATGAATGCATGGATAAGCATTTTAATTGAATTCTTTCCTCCCTTTTGATCCTTCCTTTTGCCGGTGCAAGTATGCACTTCCTTTAATAATGTTGGTCCTAGAAAAGAGCAGATAAGTTTAACGGTGATTGTTGACAACTTGTTTTTCGGTTGATCGTTTCGTTGCGAACTGTTGACAACTTGCTTTCTCGTTAAAAGATTTGCGTGGCGATGTACAAGCAAAATTCGTGCAGATATGTCGATAATCGAATCACAAATTAATTAACCGAGAGTTCTTTCTAATCGAACAACTCGATAGAGCTCAAAAGGGCATTCTATCTGGGCGAAGGATGGTTTTGCTGAACTGTTTATATAATATCTAACTACCCCTCATCTTCTAATTTCAAAGATTTATATGGTTTATCAATGTCGCGAAACAAGGTGTTGATTTCAAGCGCAAAGTTCTTCCCTTTTTTTTTTTTTCTTTTCTGCTTTTGATTTATTTCTTTTCTTTTGCGTAGGATTGATTAGGCACAAAGTTTCCGAAGAGACTCTACGTCGACTTGGGGAAAAGCTCATGTTACAACTTACACCTTGACTTTCACAAACTTGTGATTTAAGACTTGACTTCTTTTTCTTCTCTTAGTGAAAAATACTCGTGGGGTTATCGTATGTTCTTTTTACAAGCAGTCTCGTGACGTTTAAAGCTTTTTCTTTTGCGGCTGGATGGAATTACACGATCATCATCAATCATCAACAAGATATCACAATCGAAAGAGACCAAATTTCTCAAGTTGCCTTGCGGTTGGGAGATTCTCTTTGGTCCAACGATGTCATACTTTCATTTTCATGGCCAAAAGGCTTGGCGCTCTACAAGGCTATACAGACGCAGCTCTACGACAATTTCATGAGATAATGTCATCACGTTCACACCAACTTTCGGCCCTAAGACTGTCCGAAAGGGACAGAGGTAACGTTAGCAAGATATTTAATGAGGTTAGGGTTCGCAAAGTAGTGATAAGGGAATGATTTTGATTGATGATTCTTTCCTTCACCCATCACTGAAATCACGGGACTTCTCTCTAGCTGCTAGGAGTAATCGAATTAACTAAGTATAGTTGATGAGCAAATCGCACATACAAAAGGATCATTATCGTGTACCCCCGTAAAAACCCTACTTCCATGTTCTTGAACGCAAGTGAGTTAGGGGGCGTTTGGCAAGTTGCCAAATAGTAAAAATTTCTGTTTTTTTGTTTCCAAAATTAGTTCGGGAACAGAAATCCGTTTGTTAAATTTTTTGTGCCCGGGCACAAATTTGCAAAAAATTATTCCTAGAATCAGTTTTAGAACAAAATCAAAAGGCAAAAAAAAGTAGCTTCTTGATTATGGAACAATTTTTCAATTTCTGATTCTTGGTTTTCTTCTTCCTTTTTTATTTGTTCTTCGTCTTCTTCCAGGTCTGCCACAGGACCGCCGCCGGCCGGCCACAGACGATCGGCCAGAGCCGGCGAGTGTGGCCTTCACCGCCCCTGGCGACGGCGGCGAGGTTAGGTCGAGCCTCGCCCGGCCATGGTGAGGCCGACCTCGCCGTTGCCACCCTTGGCGATGGCGAGGTCGGCAGCGAGGGCGGCTTGCTGGCCATGGCCAAGGAAAGGAAGGAAATAAAGGAAAAAAAAATAAAAATAAAGGAAAAAAAAAGAGAGAAAGAAATATTAAAAAATTCAAAATATTATTAAAATATTATTAATAAAAAGAAATTTTGTGTAATTACCAAACGCATTTATGTTCTTTTTCTATTCTAAGAATAGAAATTTTGGGCAGTTATCAAACGCTTTCAAATGCTTAGAAATTGTTTCCGGGCACAAAATAAAAAAGAAATCATTTTTGAGCAGAATTAGTTCCCGGGCACAGAATCGTTGCCATGCACACCCTTAGCGTTTGACGAGAGAAAGATTCATGTCATGAAATTCCATGTTCCTCTTATTTAACTACATCCATTATGTCGTTTTATGTTCTTTTTCCTGTCGAGCAATGCTATTGTGAGGAGAGGGATGGCGCGAAAAGATATGAATTCAAGGCTTATCAACTCCGATATGATTAGTTGAGAGTCAGCTATCATGCAGCAGCTAAAACCTAATTTTCGTACAAAAGTCGCGAGTATCCCATATGATGAACAACTTAGCTCGAAATAGAGCGACAATCCCTGATAAATGAGGGCCAAAGTACGATCCGCCTTTCCGATGAATGAGAAAGAACGTGCAACATTCATGTCCCAGGATAAATCTACCGGAATGCGAAAGGAGAACTGAAGATCAGCAATGAAAAAGAAGTAGATAAAAGGCAACTTTGAGACAGAGAGACAGAACCATATCTTGATAAGGCAGCGATAAAAGCCACCCCTACACACATTAACCTTTGCCATCTCCAATGGTCGCTTCCACACCTTATCATCAACCTGCTCCCTTCCTTCGACCTTTGTTTTGCCCATAATCTTTTCATTTTTCACTTTCTCTTTGCTAAAGAGAAAGAGCGACTCCCTCGTTACCTCCTCGTTCTTGCCCCGTTAAATCTGCTATTTGCTCTCGCCACAGCCTTCCTCTGGCCTTTTCCACATCGCCCTTTTCCAAGAAAAAGGGTGTTTCCATGGTGTCTAATCCGCCGTAGTGGGGTGACGCAATTCTTCATTTCAAAATACAACGGGATGAAGGGAAGAGGAATTACAAAAAGTATGTGAAAGAACATGTAAAAAAGAGAGAGAGGAAAGGAATCCTATTGCAAAAAGAGTGGGAAAGGAGAAAAGGAAAGGGGAAAAATCTTATCCACGGGGTTCTGTGAATGGCGTGTAGCGCATCAATTTGAGGCCCCTCCATTGATGTTGACATGAGTATAGGTTTATTAAAGAAGGCTCCAAATAAAGTGATGGGTAGTGTTCTTATTGATAAGCAGTGACCAAACTCACATGCTTATGCAAAATGTGAATGAATATAGATCGGTCCCCGACTACCGGAGTAGCTTTAGGTTTAGAAAAGAAAAGTTCTCTTCGCGACCGTCTAACGCCGGAAAAATTACCAAAAAAATTCTAAATCGGAATAAGTGTAAAAAAAAGTCATAAACCTATTGCGTTGGTGCCAGTTCAATCATAAATTTTTCAATTGTGTCATTTTAGTTCTAAATTTTTTATATTTGTATCAACTGAGTCTAGTCAATTTTGACCGAAAATTCCTGACGTGAAAATCCTACATGGCACGGCCTTTTTGGTTTTTTCTTTTCTTTTGTCCTTTACTTTTTTTTTCCTTTGGACTAAGGGCCGGCGATCTCGCCAACACTGAGTGAGGGTGTGTGGCCCTCACCGGCCACTAGGCGAGGGCCGCAACACCCTCGCCCTGTGCCGGCAAGGGTCGGCCGACGACCTTAGTCCAAAGGAAAAAAAGTATATATATATTCAAAAAATTATTTGAAAATGTCCACATCAGCGCCAGTCGTGCCACGTAGGACGAATAGCATCCACATCAGCGATTTTCAACCAAAATTGGCCGAATGGACTCATTTGGCACAAATGCAAAAGATTTAGGACTAAATTAGCATAAGTGAAAGGTTTAGGACTGAATTAGCACAAATGCAATATGTTTATGACTTTTTTGACACTTTTCACTTCATAAACCTATGCACTTTTGTCAATTCAATCATAAA